TAAAAAAAAAAAAAAAAAAAAAAAAAAAAAAAAAAAAAGGAAAAACAAAAAAAAAAAAAATTAAAAAATTTTGAAAATAATAAAGTATTTTTGCTTTTCTTAAACAATTATATAATATATAAATTTGTAAATATAAATTTTAACTACAAATTGTAAACCTACAAAAATAAATTTAAATGTATTACAATAAAATGTCTATTATATACAAAAAAGGATTAATTGAAAGCAAGAATTTATATATATTTATGTGAACAAATATATTTTTTTCCTTTTCATTAATTAACTTATATTAAAGTATTGTATTGATTTAGCCCTTGTGTGTAAACCATCAAAAATATAATGTAATTTCATATCAAGATGTCTATTGTTTTTTTTATTTTTTTTTAAAGCAAAAATTCCTTTTAATATTTCATTTTTTTCTGCTGTAATAATATTATCAGTATATAAAACAATCTGCTTCCAATGAGTATGACCACCAAAGGGTCCGGTTGTAAAACTAATTTCTGTATGACAAGCTGAAAAACAAACATCAAACCATATGACTAGTGCATGTATATAATCTCTCCTAATCATTTTTAACTTAAAAGGAGAAACAAATGACAATTGATCCTTTGTGCAAGTATTTAAATCTAATGTTAAAATACGACATGTATCAGTAACAACAAAATTTTTGTCAACATAATCAATAACCACTTCTTCTTTAAGTATTGGTAATACTGAAGAAAAATTTAAGTCATAACAATTTTTCCAAAAATCAAATTTCTCTTCTCTATATAAACTATCTTCAATTCCTGCTATATACATATATGCTTTATCAGGAAAAATCAAACCACCTTTTTTTAACCATTTATCTCTACAATATATAACAGTATCAAGCATATTTTCATATAATAAACAATATCCCATCCATTCTGATATTATGATATCAACCTTATCCACTGGCAACTCAATTTGTTCTGCCAATCCTTTTATAAAAGTAATTTTATCAGTTAAGTTATTTTCATCTCTTATTTTTAAGGCTGTATATATTATATCGCTTTTTTCAATACTGTAAACGTGCTTTGCTCCACATTTCGCTGCGAAAAAAGACAAAATACCTGTACCACTTCCTACATCTAATACTATCTTATCTTTTATTAAATGCTCATTTTTTCTAATAGCATCATAATAAGTTCTTGTTCTTATTTCATCTTTTATCATATCTTCATGAATATGTATGTAATTATAAGAATTAAAATATTCATTATTTCCATTTTCCATACTTTTTTCATCATCTAACAATATAAAATTTTTTCTTTCACCATCATTTATTTTATCCTTATAGAATTGTTGCCATTCATTAAAAAAATTTTTTAATTCTTTTTCATTGAAATCTTTTATCTCTTTTTCTTTATCACAATTATTTTTATTTTCTTCATTGTAGTACACTGCCTCCCGTGTTTCATAATTGTTTTTATTTATTTTGTTGTATTTACTAGTCATCCTTTTTCTTTTTTTAAGCTACTAATTTAAAAAAAAAAAAAAAAAAAAAACAATATATATATTTATATATATTTCAAATTTAAAAAAGAAAAAAATTAAATAATTATGAAAATTTCATAACTTGAATAAATGTTATTTCTTATAGATATATATTACAAAAGCTATATATATTTTTTACTTATTTAGAACGTTATAAATATGTTTTTTTTCTATTATGAACACTTTGATGAGTAAAAATACCTTTTTAAGATAAAACAATTAACATATTAATTTTTTTTTTTTTTTTATCAGCAAATTAAAAATAGCTTCATATAAATATGTAGATTTTTTTTTTTTTTTTTTTTTTTTTTTTTTAATATTTATTTTAAAGAAATACTTATAATTGTTTTTTTTTTTTAAGAAATAACTTCAGAAAAAAAAACTTCTTTTAAATTTTTGAAGATTATCAACATTAATTATTTATTTATATTTTATATATGAAAATTTAAAATTATCGTATTTCTTTTTTTACATTTTAAATATCAAGCTTATTACGATTATTATATATTCTATAACGTTATGCTATTTTATGTTTTTTACTTTTATCCATTACTAAAGCAAAATTTATTATAAAAATTCATTTTTTTTTTTTTTTTTTCTAAATGATATTTCTTTAAAAAAAAAAAAGAAAAAATATTAAATATATATATATATATAAAGAAAAAAATTATATAAAGATAGACTGAAATATGTAGATAAGTACATTTTAAAAAAGAAAAAAAAAAAAAAAAAAAAGAAGAAAATATTTTTAATTTATATACAATTTTAACGAACATAAGAAATAAAAAAGGTAAAGTAAGGAATACATTAAAGAATGTCCTAAAAAGATTTATGTTTGTATAATTTCTTAAGAATGTAAATATAGAAACACTTTTATTAAGTTATTTTTTTTATTATGCATATAACTTATGTATTATTGGTTTTTATCATTTATTAATTTAACACATATTTACCTTTACTTTTATTTTAAGAACATAAAAGAATTTTCTAACTAAATCAATGATTCGTATTCTTTCTCTGTTTCTTTTATAATATCTTCCATTATCTGTATATCTTGAACATTCAAATAATCTTTTTTTTTTTTAATACAATTAAGCTGTTTTCTAATATATTCTAAATTCTTTTCTCTTTTTGACTCTCTTTCAAATAGCTCATCTAAGGAATTTTTTTCTTCACTAGAATTTTTACAAAAGCTCTCTCCTAATTTTAAGATATGAATATCCCCTTTTTCATTACCTACAGATATAAATTTATTATTTGAATGTGCATCTATTTCAGTTATAGAACAATTGCATATTTTATGCTTAATAATAGGCTCATTAAAATTATAAAGTAAATTCCAGAAATCTAAATATCCATCTTTTCTTATTAACATAAAAAATGAAGAATCATATATCCATAAACCTTTGTTAATAACACATTCATTATAATAATTAGAAATAATAGGAAATTTTATATCTTCTGACCATATATTGAAACCCCATTTATCTGTTGATAAAAAATACTTTAAATTGATGGGTATCCTTTTTATGCTTGTTATAGCTGATAGATGCCTTTCATTTGAGACCCCATACTTTTGAAGAAGTTCTAAATTTTTAGATTGTCTTTTTGATAAAGATAGTATATATCCTTCATCTGTTCCTATTAATATTTTGGATGGTCCTGCTTCTAAATTCCATTCTAAACAATTTGCACTATAATTTAAATTACTTGTATTAATTAAACTATTTTCATTATTTGTATTAGTTGTACTATCTATATTATTTAAATTACTTGTATTAATTAAATTATTTATATTAGATTTGTTATTTAATCCATTGTATATCTTTAAATTATCTGTATCATTGACGCTTTCTAACTCACAGAAGTCTGTTGGGTCTTTTTTTAAATAAAAGGATTCAATGTAATTAGAAAAATCACGAATATCCCATATTAAACATAAACCATCATTGGAAATAGATAAACAGTGATTGTTTGTTTTAGTTTGCAACCATATAACATCATGAACAATATTTTTGTGACTTACATTTATTAAAGAAGAGTCGCATAATGTATTTTTTTTTCTCAAATCCCACAAATTAATGGTTCCTTCATAAGATCCTGCTAATAACAAATCAGAATTTTTATGATTAAAACGCAAACATTTTATAAAAGTTTTAGAATATAAGGTTTGATAAGGATTATTGATTTGATTTAAATCATATAACAAGCAATTTTTGGGAGAATTATTAAGAATTTTTTGATAATCATTTACACAATAAGATATTGCTAATTTATGAGTATTATCAGTAGACCATTTTATCGAAGTGATAAATCTTTGATATTTTCTCATTTTATCTTTTATTATTAATATAGATTTAATTCTAAAATCTTCTTCATTTTGTAAATCATTTTTAAAATACTCTTCATAGATATTGATGCTATTATTTTTATTTATTATTTTTGTTGTTTCATTCATTAATATTTTTAAGCTATTAATTAAGTTTATATCTTTTTCCAATCTCTTTATATATTTTATTTTGTTTTGATGTTCACTTATGTCTATATCTTTTGTCCATCCACCTTCGTTGTGATAAAAAAATTTATTCTCTAATTTTAAACTTTCAATATTTACATATTGTTCACTATATTTTTTTATGTTATCATCATTATAATAAATATTTTCTTTGTATATAAATTTATTTTTTAATTCTTTATTAGGTTCTATTCTTCCTATAATTTGACTTTTAGACTTTTTAAAATCGCACTTTCTTCCAACATCACTTTTTTTTTTTGTGTAACAATAATAATAATCGATCATTTTTGTTCAAGATGTATTATAAGAAAATTTAAAGAAATTATTATTAAAAATGTTACAAAAAATAAAGAAAAATTATATTATTGCATTTATGTAAATCCAAAAGAAAAAAAAACAGAAAATTTATTAATCATTTTATGGTAATGTAAAAAGTGTAATGCAATTCTATAATTAAGACAAAAAATATTAATAAAAATAACAAAAAATAGTGTAAAAAATTAAAAATAAAATATATATGTAGAAGAAATAATTATTAACTAAAATTTAATATATATAAGTGTATTTTTATTTTATAAAATATACAAAGATAACCTTAATCAAATTTTTAAAAATTAGATGTAAAGGAAATTATCTAGAAAAATTAATTAAATTAGGAGACTCATGTACCCAATATTTTATGAGAATATAATTTTTTATTTTATTATTTTTTTTTTCTAAAATGAACTATGAGAAAAGTGCATTATGTTATTTACATAAAAAAAAAAAAAAAAAAAAAAATATATAGAGATAAATAAGTACAGTAATTTTTCTAATAAAAATATATATTTTAGGTTGATTATTCTCTTTAAAATTAATATAACTTTTTAGGTAAGTATAATTTTTTTTTTTTCTAATATTTTGCACAATGATTTTTTATCCAATTTTTTTCTCTTTCATTAACTTTTCTAATTTCCTTATTATCGTTAAAATCATAGACAATTTTTTCATCAATATTACAGTATCCATCCCCTAATAAAAAAAAAAAACATTATACAAAAAGATTAAAAAAAAAAAAGAAAAATTAATCATTTTTAGAAAAAAAAATAAAAATATATAAAAAAAAATATGTTATGTAAACATCCAAAAAAAAAAATAATAAAATAAAATAAAAAAAAAAAAAAAAAATAGCCATAAATGAAAATTAAAAAAAAAAATATGCACACAAGAATATAGAATGTTAAAGAAAGGGGAAATAATAAATACTTAAAATATATAAATTCATATAAGATCTGAAAAATAAAATAGCCAAAATTTTACCTATATCATAAATTCTGTCCAAGTAAATATTTTTTTTTTCTTCATTGTAAATAACTTCATTGCTGTTAATTTTTTCATTATAAAAATATGGGTTATCAACTAAATATTTCCAATTATTTTCATATTGTAACCCATCACTAAAATAATATTGGCCACACACATTTTTACCATTTTCCCAATATCCTTTATATTTTCCATTTTCCTTAAAAATTAAAACACCTAGAAATAATATATTCTTGTAATGTATAATACATATTTTTTCTTTATTTTTTTCTTTATTTTTTACTTCGAAAATAAGAATAATAATTTTTTTTCGATAAAGTTAATAATTATTTTTTTTTTTTTTTTTTTAATTTTCTCTATACCTTCCCCATGAAACTTTTCATTTTTAAAGTCTCCTACATATATGTTCCCATTTGGGTAAATATATTTTCCTTTTGTTTTTTCTTTGTTTAAATATGTTATTTGTGACATCGAAGGATAAAATAATATTTATGGAAAATTAATTGATAAAAAAATGTATATATTAGAAAAAACTTTTATGTATTAATAATGAATATGTTTTATTTTGTGCACATAGAAATGGGGAAAATAAATTTTATGTTTGATTTAAAAAAACTATATTATCATTTCATTTAATAATAATTATTTTCTTTTTTTTTTTTTTTTTATTAAGTATTTTTTGAGCTCTTATGTAATTATATAACGCACATTAATTTTTAAGAAGCATTAATTTAAATTTTTAAGTGTAATTTATATTCCCATATTTCCATTTTAAAAAGTGGAGATAAAATAATATTATATTCATTTAATTAAAATAGTTAATCCTTTTTTCTTTATAATAATATAAAATAAAATTTACTTACACATATATAATTAAAAATTTATGTGTAATTATGTATTTTCTATAACTTAGTGTTTATAGTGATGAAAATTTTATAGTTAAAAAAAAAAAATTAATAGTAAGCATAATTTCTTAATTCATTTAAAACAAAATTATATTTACATACACAAAATAATATTTGAAAGTAAACCTAAAAAAAAAAAAAAAATAAAATTCACATTTTTTAAAAACAAAAAAAAATTATCACCTCCTTTATATATTTTAATTAAAATTATAAAAAGACACATGTTACGGGCATACACATTTTCTCAGGAAAATGTAAAAACATGCATAATATTTTTTCTTAGAATTAAAAATTTTTTTTTTTTTTTAAATTTTTGGTGGAATGATATAAATATATGTAAATTTTTTATTTCATTTTTAATGATTGAGACCATCTTAAAGAAATATAAGTTGATAATTTTATAACAGCATAAAAACAAATTAAAATAAAAACAGATATGGGTATTTGTAAAGTTGCAAACCTCTTTTCTATGATAACATCCCCTGGAAATACACCAAAATCTCTGCATGCAGGAGATTTATTATCAGGTGAACATTTAATAAGTGTATCATCAAATTTAATTTTTGCAAGTACTGATGCAGAATAAGTTTGATAGGATAACCACTGTAGATATCTGAATGGTACTTCCAATTTAGATATCTCAACATAAAAACCGTTAGTTAAAGTCATAGTTAAAAGGACAACAGATAAAAAACTAACAGCCTTACTAAAATTGTCAAATAATGTGGATATAAAATATCCTAAGGAGCTACTAATTAAAGCATTTAGTAAAGTTACAAAAGCGTAACTTACATATACACCAAATTTTAATGTCCCATATAAAATTAAGTGGGTAATTAAAATCCAAAAGGCAATAATTATAAAAAAATAAATAAATTCAGATAATAATTTAGAAAAAAAGTAATTACTTACTTGATATGTTTTCATATTTCTTTCTCTTGCAATTACTTCTCTTTCTGATGGAAAGGAATATAAAGATAAATATGCTGGATAAAAGGTCCAGTAAGAAAGAATAAAAAAAATAGCCCCAATGGTATCTATAATTCCTTCTTCCGTATCTTCTTTAAATGTTTTTAACCAAAGAAAACCAAATAATGTTAAAATAACAACTAGATCAATCATTTTAATTATAGTTATTTCATCAGTTATGATTTTTTTTAACCCTCTTATTAATAAAAAAAAATTCTGCCTTATATATGGAGTCTTTTTTTCTTGTAGAGAAATTAATTTTTCTACTGCCTTTAGTTTTATTGAATCTTGTTCTCTTGCTTGAATCTCCTGTACTGATAAAACTTGAGATTTATTTATTCCCATAGCTTTTTGATTCTGTGCAAATTTACCCATAGTTCCTTCATTTTCATATAATGTGTCATAATCATCATGAATGATAGTATTATCAATGGCATCTATATTCATATAGTAGCCTACTTCACTATCAAAATGAAGATATTTATTATAATTATCTATTAAAATTGCCTCAAAATTATCGTTAGTTAGCACATCCATTAAATAATCAGCTACATTCCATCCATAAGGGCAAATAAAACCAATCTTTTTTAAATACTTATTTAACTGAGTAGTTTTTCCATGATAAATAATATAACCATTAGTAATGGCAATTAGTCTATCAAATTTGGCAAAAACTTGACTACTAGGTTGATGCAAAGATGATAAGATAGTAGTATTGGATATTTTAGCTATTCTCTGAATGCATTCTACTAGTGATAAAGCTGATGAAGAATCTAATCCACTAGTTGGTTCATCCATTAATAATAAAGGAGGATTAGATAATATTTCATTAGCGATAGATAATCTTTTTCTTTGACCACCACTGATTCCTCTTATAAAAGCATCTCCTACTATGGTATCTTTTACATGAGTTAAACTCATGATATCTAATACTGAATGAACTAATTCATCAAGTTTATTTTTATCTCTTATATCTAACTTTAATTTTGCTGTAAATTCAATCGTTTCATAAACAGTTAATCTTGACAAAAAATAATCATCTTGTAATACATACCCCATATGATTTTTTATATTTTTTGTTCTAGTTGCATCATTTATTAAAAAATTACCTTGCACACCATCAGTTACTTTCATTGATAATATGTTTAATAAAGTTGTTTTTCCACTACCACTTGGCCCCATTATAACTGTGATTGTTTGGGGTAATAATAATCCTTTTACCCCGTGTAAAATTTCTAATTTTCCATGATCAACCGAATATTTAACATCTGAAAATTCATATTTTATTTTATCATATGATTTATGTGTACTTTTTTTTGATTTCCATTTTTTTAATTCCATTTTTTACAAATTACATAAAAGAAAAAAATAAATAAAAGATAAAAATAAAAAAAAAATATATTATTAATTTTATGCTTTTGTTCTTTTTATTTTTTATATTTTTTTTTCTTTTAAATAGAATTATATAAATTATTTTTATTTAAAATTTTGGCTATTCTTCACTATTATTCTATCACTTAAACATAGGAATTTTCTTATTCTTAGTTTATACTAAAATGCTTTATAAACATATATATATATATATATATATATGTATATTTTTAGTTACTTTTATGTCTACAATAACTTTCCTTTTTTTTTTTTTTTCTTGCTATATACTATTTCAAAAAAAAATATTTTACAATATCTAAAATTTTCCCAAATAAATAAAATATATAAAAGAATCAACAAAGTTTTTCTTAATACTTTCGTTATCTTATGATCTATTATATCTTTGAATAAAAAAAAAAAAAAAAGAAAAAAATGTGATCACATATGTGCAAAAAATGACTTAAAATTTGTCAGGAATTAAACAAAAAAGTTCAGATTTTTTTTTTTTTTTTTTTTTAAGAGAACTCACTATATATACGTGAAAGTGGACCATTTTAAAAAAAAAAAAACACATTTTTTCCTTATTTAAAAAGTAAGGATAAGATTTTTAATATATTGTAATATATTCAAGAAAAATATGAAATGAAAGAATACCAATAAGACAAAAATAGACATTTTTTTTTACACGTATTTCGTTGTGTAAGTATATAGCATCCATCCAGTAATTTCATAATTAAAGAATGTAGAAGGTTTTATTAGTAGTAGCAACATTAAAAAAAAAAAAAAAAAAAATTATCGTAATATGGAACAAAATATGTAAAAAATTCTTGAATAAGATAAATATAAAAAAAGAATTAAAATGTAAAATTATGATGAGAAAATTAGTGAACAATTTTATTATGTTAAAATGTATTCTTATCTTTTTTATAAGAAAATAAAGTACACTCATTAAGATTTCATATAGAAAATTTTATATTTTTAATTTATCTTATTATTATTTTTTTTTTTTTTATTTCAATTTTTTTTCATTCTAAAATTTGAACTATCTAAAAAAACATCATAATATTTATTATTATTCAACATTTTAACAAAAAAGGGATTAAATAAATTATCACCATTATCATACTTACTAAAAGAATAAAAAAATAAAACCTTTTCCTTAAAAAATATAAAAATGTTTAAAAAAAAGTCTCCTTTTTTTTTACCTTTATAAATTTTGCTTAACACACACTTATTTTGCACTATTTTATAACAAAATATTTTGCATATATTAAAAGGATTTTTTTTTTTTTTCTTATTCATATTATTGTTTTTAATAAATGTAACAATATCACTTATATATGTAAATATATACTCTAAAAAATACATCGTAGTTTCAATAAATTTATTTTTAATTATGCTATTCTTATATAGATTTAAAAAATATATGTTATTTGATTTATTTAATTTCTCGTAATTATTAGTAAAAATATTGATAGAATAAGAAATATGGCCATTTATAAAATAAATTAAATAATTAAGCGTCATTTTATAAGTAATTAATTTATTTTTCATAAATATTTTATTGAAAGATTGTTTACCATTTATAACTAAGTTATGTATTATTTTATTATTTATATTTATTAATTTCGTAAAATCAATTTTTTTTTTTATTATTTCATTAGAGATATTAAAAATGCATAAATTTTTATTAATTCTAATCTTTTTATTTATAAAAAATAACAATTTATCAATTTTATGATGATCAATAAAATTTAACTCTTGATTTCTTTGTTTATTATTATCAATAGCAATTCTATTACTGTCATTCATTTTATAAATGAGCTCCATAATAATTTTTATTTCATGTTGGAATGTATTTACTATTTTTAACAATTTTAACTTGTGTAAATTAGCATTTAAAAAAAATATATTTTTTTCTCTTTTAATTTTTTCTTTTGTTTTCTCAATTATATAAGTCATATATTTGTAAAATGTTTTCTTCATATTCTTCAATTTGAAAAAATTATAAAAAGTTTCATCTTTTATATCTGTATTTTTTTTTCTATCCTCCTCTTCAAAATTTTCATTAATCTCTATATTTGGTTCTGTTAATTCTACTGCCTTATTTATATTATTTTTACTCAAATTCATTTCACTCTGATAAATCTTATTTTTGTCTAATAATTTCATCTTTTTTTCTTCTTTTCTTTCTAAATATTTTTCAATGCATACTATTTTCGATACGTATACAATTTTATTTTTTTTTTCCTCATTTTTTTTTAACAAACTATATGTCTTTTTACTTTGATTATTGTTATTTTTAAAGTTCAAAAACATATTTTCATTTTTCAAAAAATATATATAAATTTTTTCTTTTTCTTTTTTCTTTATTTTTTTAATTAATATATCAAAATTATCACAAATCATTTCTTTTGTAAGAAAAAATTTACTTTTCATTTTACTCTCTTTAATTCCCACTTTATTCATTTTTGAAGAAAAGCTAAAAGTGTTTCTAAAAAATATTCCCAATAAATATAAATAAAAATATAACAATAGTTTCTGCATTTTTAATAAGAAAAGAAAAACATCCTCATTAATAAAAATATTCTTTAACCATTTTTTTTTTTTAAAAAATTTTAATAGATCACTATATTTATCTTTTATTGATTTATTATTATGTAAGGAATTACTATAATAAATATATCTTCTAAAGAATAAATGAATCCATTTTCTCCTTTTCATATAGCATATATAAAGATATGGTAACTTATTAATAATGTAGAGAAAATGTTTTAATATATATATTTTATCAAAATTATTGAATTTTTCAAAATTACCAAAAAAATGTAAAATATATATACAAATATTTTTAGCTACTTTTAATATTTTATCTTTAATAGATGTAATTTTAAAAATACAAATTAAATGAAAATTTTCTCTATTCCTATTACTTAAACTATTATTATTATTATTATTATTATATAAAATAATACCACTACTATTATTATTTTTAATACAATAATTATTGTTTCTTATATTATTTGTATTATTAATATAACAACTATTTTTATTAATTACATTTCTATTTTCTTTTTTTTCTAAAAAATAAACATACATATGTTCATTTTTAGATAAATTAGCATTCCTAAACTTCCAATTCCACTTTAATAAATCTTCAATAGTTTCACATAATTTTTCAAACTTCTTTTCAACAAAATTTAAAATAATATTTTTATTTAAGAGTTCAATTTTTAAAAAAATTTTCTTAATTTTTAGAAATAATTTATTATTTATATGATAATTTTCCTGTACTAAAACGAAATTATCAAGAATACTATGAAACGTATATATATATTTTTTTTTTTTTCCTTTTTCACTTTTATGGTTATTGAAAAAATTATAATTTAAATATCCTTTTAAGGTTCTGTTAGAAATATATTTTTTCAATTTTTTTATTAACTTCTTTTTTGAATACAATGTACGGATTAGAAGAAATAACTCATTTAAAAATTTGAATATCAAATGTAAATTTATGTCTTTCTTATTATCAGAATTTATTTTTAAAAAAAGACAATTTTTTTTATTAAAATATAACAGAATAGGAAATATAAAAATAAAAAAGCATTTATTAATATTATTAAAAGTTAAAAAAAATTCTTTTTCTTTTTTCAAAATGTTACTATATATATATATTTTGTTATATTTTTTTAAAGAATCAATAATATTTTTAAAACTTCCCTTAATATTTTTTTGAGAATTGTTTTCTTTTCTAGTTAAATTACACTTGTTATAAAAAATTGATAAAAAGTAGCTAAATTTTTTTTTTTCTTTAATGAAATGAATAATTTTTAATTTTATATGTTCTGTAGTGTCATATTTTACTACATTTTTACTCTCATAAACATTTTCATCATGTTTAAAAATAAATTTATAATTGTTAATTTTATGATAGTTATGTACATTGGTTAACTTAATAATTTCATCATAACTTTTTTTATCATATAAAAATTTATATAAAATTTTTTGAAATGTATGAAAAAAAGAAAAATGTAATATTTTATTGCAACTTTCATAATTAATTAATAGAAGATAATAATCAACAATTTTTTTTGTAGAAATATTTCTTTCATTTCTTTTTTTATCAAGAAACATTTCATTCTTAAAAGTATACTTATTTCCTTTATTGAATTTTTTATTTTTATTAGTATCATTATTTTTTTTAATTATTGTATCATGAAAATTATTTTTGCATAAATATTTACTAAAATGTTTATCCTTCAGGGATAACTTAAAGGAATTTAAATATCTATTAGATGTTTCATTTTCATCATAATATGGCTCATAAAAAAATAGAATAATTGAAGATGTGTTATTAATATTAAATAATTCCTTATTTACATAATGATTAATTTTACAAAAAATATAAAAATTTTTGTTACAATTTATAAAATGAAGCGATGTATCAATATGAGTATCAATGTAATTTACAACTATATTTTTATTCTTTTTAATTTGGATGATTTTTCTTATATAACAAAATAAATTATCATCATCTATGAAATTTTTCATACATTTTTTATGAAAATATAACTGATACAGTATTTTATTTATATATTTTAATTCAATTAAATTGTATAAAAGTCCCTTTTTTATTCCTTTCTTTTTCTTTTTAACCTTCAATGCATTTTGAATAATTTTGTATCCCTTTATTTTTCTCAATTCTTCACATAATTTTAAATTAAATATTTTTTTTTCTTCTTCATAATTCATTATTTAAATTACATCATTTCTAATAAATAAAAGTGTAAAAATATTTTCTTTTACAATATTTTATATATTTTTTGTACACTTTTTTTTCTTTTACATTAATAAATTTGAAAATAATTTCTTTTAAATTTACATGGCATTCAAATAAAATAAAAAAAAGTAATATATATCTTTAAAAGCAAATAATATGGTAAATATAACATTTCCTCATTAATTTTTTTTTTTTATACATTTTTTTCTTTTAAAATTTTTTCTCAAAATAATTTTTTCATATTCACCTTAGATATATAAATAAATATTTATTAAAATTATTACATATATATATATATATTTTTTTTTTAAATGTTATAAAATAAAAATAAAAAAAAAAAAACAACAATAAATTATTCAAAATTATAATTCCATCCAATTCCTTTTTATTTTTTTTTGAAAAATTAGTTTTAGTAGTAAGATAGTATTATTAAATATTATCGTATTTAAAGTTTATATATATATATATATATATATATATATATATATATATATATATATATATTGTATACAGAAAAAAAAAAAAAAAATATATTCTTATCTTAATTTTAAAAATATTTATCATAATCTATCATAATAAAAACCTTATTAGTATTATAATTTATATATGTATAAACAATAAATAATATGTAGAATTAAAAAAAAAAAAATAAAAATGTACGAATTGAAATTATGTAAAAAATATAAAATATAATAAATGGAAATTTTTATATTTATATGTAAATATAACAAATTATCCTGTGTTCTGCATACCAGCTGCAATTGCTTTTATGGACACTATTAAAGCATCATTTAATGAAGTATAATCAATATAAGTTTTTGTAGAATCTTCATTTGATGATTCATTTATTTTTGATAAACTTCTTTGATAGTTAGAATCTATTCCTTTAATATCTTCATAAAAATTTTCATTTTCTGTCTCACTTGGAAAGCATGCGGAAGAATCAGATTCTAATAAAGGATGAAATTTCGGATTTTTTCTTAATTTATTTTTCTTTCTACTTAAATAAGACTTAATGCACATAACACTATCTTGTTTATTGAATTTTTTTAAATTATCAATTTCTCTATTGGGATAGATCTTAGAAGGAAAACTTGTAGTGTATTTTTTTTTAAAATCTTTAATTAAGGTATTATTTTTTTCATTGTGATCATTACTTAATTCATCAATTTTTTTTTTTAATAAATCAATGGTGTCAACACTGGGTGATTCTAATAAATTATATCTTTTAAAATTATTGTTTTTAATATCATAATTAAAATTAGGATTACTATTTTCCTTTTCTCTTAGCCTTTTAAGAGCTTGTATTTGTATTAAATTGCAAACTACAACCCACTTGGTCCTACTTTCAATAGATCTCTTTGTCAATTGATCATTATCACAAAATGTTTTTTCATTAGTAACAAGAAAAGTTACTTCCATGGATTTTTTTAATTTCTCTCTTAAAAGAACACCTATATATTTTAACTCATCCGGAACTAATATATCATATTCTTGTGCTATTTTTACACTAGCTTTAGCCATAACCATACTAATTAAATTAAAAAAGCTAGTACAAAAAGGCCAATTTTTATACATATCTTGTAGAATATGTAACTTTTTATTATTTGCAATATAATCTAAGACTACTTCAATACCTAACCAGACTGGTAAATGCATTCTATTTTGAGTCCATGAAAAAACCCAAGGTATTGCCCTCAAAGATTCTACATTTCCCTCTTTTCTTTTAGATGGTCTTGATCCTAAATTTAATTTTCCAATTTCAATTTCAGGAGTTGCATATCTAAAATATTTAACAAAATCTTGATTTTCATAAACAACTTTTTTGTACTCTTTCGTAGTTAATGTACTTATTTCATCCATTAAATCTCTCCATTCTTTTTTAATTACAACTGTATTTTGTAATAAAGAGCATTTTAAAAGTGCACTTATATAAGATTCAATGGATCTTAACATCATACCTTTCAAGCAAAAATTTTGTGTTATTACTTCTCCTTGTATTGTTACTCTCAAATAATTTTTTATGGTATCTATAGGTTGAGACAAAATTGCTAAATGTTGTGGTCCTCCTCCTCTACTTACACTTCCACCTCTTCCATGAAAAAAATGAACTTCAACCGAATACTCTTTTCCTAATGCTACTAACTTTTCTTGTGCTTTGAATAGTTCCCATGCAGATGCTAATCTGCCTCCATCTTTACCAGAATCTGAATAACCAATCATGATTTCTTGCTTATTATCAAAGTAAATTCTTAAATGATTACGATACCATGGATTTTTTATCAAATTTTCTAAAATGATAGATGAATTTTTCAAGGATTGAATAGTCTCTAATAAGGGAACTACTCTTTGTGTTCTTCTCTGAGCAGTTTTTTTAAATTCCTTTTGAAATACCTCTACTAGCAAAATATCAGAAGCGTTACTACACATAGATACTATGTAAGCACCTAAAGCACTTTCCTCTATTTGTGAACATACATCAAATGTTTTTATAACATTCAAAAAATCGCTTGGAACATCATCTTCCTGTTCTATATTATTTGGTATTAATGGCCTATTAGAATTTAATATTTCTGTTAAAAAATTTATTTTTTCTTCTTCATTTAAAAGAGAATATTTTTTCATATTTAATTTTTCACATATATAATTCATTGCTAATACATGTTTATCGGATTCTTGTCTTATATCTAACTTTAGTAAATGTAAGCCAAATATTTTAACATTTCTTATAACATCTTTTAAATAACCTTCTGCTATTAATGTATTACCTGACTGAACCAAACTTCTATAACATTCTAATAAAATTTCTTCAAATTCTTCCGTATTATGAAACATTAACTTCTCAAAATCTTGATCTACTGTCTGATTTGCTATTAAAGATCTATAAACTTGAACTCCACTTTTCAATTTTGCCCTAACTACTAATAATGCCCTTCTATATATTTCTTTTTTATTAGGTTTGGAGAATGGAGAAAACCACTGGAATTTCTGCACCAAGTATCTATTATCTTTATCAAAAATATAATCAGAAACTTCATCTTCTAAAAGTTTCACATATGTTTTAAATCGTTCTGTGCAATGGTGTAATGTTAAATCTCTTATTAATATTTCAATCATTGGAATAAATAATTCACATCCTCTTATTTTATTCATATAACATACATATTTTGTAGTTTCTGGCAAAACAAATGGATTCCCATCTCTATCACCACCAGCCCATGAAGAAAATAAACAAATTTTGGAATTTAACTTAACAGGAGGCAAATTATATTCAAAAAAAACATTATCAATATATCTTATAATATTTGGCATTCTATAAAAAATACAATTTTCTACAATATCAACTAATGTTATAGCTTCATCAATGGGTGTTGGTTTAATTCTTCTAATTACATCTGTTTTCCATGATGCTAATAAATTAGTTTTTAAATTATCATACAATAATTTTTTTTTATATAATTCCTTATCAGTATTATCTAATTTTAACAATAACTCTCCTAATTGTATATAATTTTTTAAAAGAGAAGTTCTAATTGCTTGTGTTGGATGTGTGGTTAATACAAATTCAATAGTTTGATTACACAGCTGTTCATATATATCATTTACATTAAAACCATTATTAATTAATATATTAAATGTACCTTTTAATGTTTCATTTACGGAACCATATATTTTATCATTTGGCACAAAGGACTTTTCAAATGCCTTTCTTCTTCTTCCTCTATGAGCCCATTCAGCAAAATTGGATAGAATGCACATATGACCAAATGCATTTACTATAGTTCCTAAATATTCATCTTTTAAATTATAAATACAATTTTTTAATGATTCAAAATTTTCAACAGTTGGATTTTCACTATATGTTTCTGATAAATCATGAATTTTACATAATACTTCGAATAAATTATTAGGTAGATTATCTTTTAACATATCAAACAATAAAAAATCTAACGCTTTTATATCATCTTTTAGAGGTTTTATAAAATCTACTATACGTTTTTTTTCAACCAATTTCCCTTCTATTAAAAATTTTAATTTTTCATCATCTTTTGTTTCATTAATAACTATACTTTTCTTCTCCTCGTCTGAGCCTCCATCTACAATATTACTACTATCATTCATTTTTACAATATTAATTTAGAAAAAACGAAAAAAAAAAATTATATTATTTATCTATATTTATATATTCTTGTAAAATTAGAAAAATATTTTTGAACTTAAACAAATTTTAAATACTAACATATAAATATTATATATGTCTTTTTATTTATAGACTCTTAATTTAAAACATAAACAAAAAAAAAGTAGAATAAATCATAAAAAAAATTTTTATACATATATATTTAATTAAAACTAAAATATACTAAAAAATAATTAGTATACTTAGAAATAATTCAGAATAAAAGATAAACATAAAGCTAAATGAAGATAAAAAAAAAAAAAATATATACACAAATGGTGTATCTTAAAGGAAAAAAACTAAAAAATAAAATTGTGCACAAATAAACAAATTTATACACATTTATAATATACATAACAAAATAATAATAATTAATTTTAATTGTAAAACCATAAAATTTAAATTAAAAGAAAAAAAAAAAAAAAAAAGTCAATTTTAAAATGTAAATTTTTTTTAAAAAAAAAAAAATTTCATCTTTTTTTTTTTTTTTTCTTTATGATCAACTAATTTTTCAAAAAAAAAAAAAAAAAAAAAAAAAAAAAAAAAAAAAAAATATAGGAGTATTTGTAAACGTAAACATAAATTAATTTAAAACAAAAATTATTTTGAACTATAAAAAAGAAAATTTTTTTTCTTTTCTAATGTTCTACATATATTTTCAAAAATACATATTTAGTATACAAAAGTAAAATTCAAAAATTAATTATTAATATAATAAAAAATATAAAAGAAATTTTTAAAATATTAATCAAATATAAAAAAAATACAAGTATTAAACTCTTAAAAAACTTAAATTCAATATTAAGTATCCATAAAAATTTTTTTTTTTTTTTAATTTACATAATATAGCAACATTTTTTTATTTAAATTATTTTTTCTTTTCTTTTTTTCTCAGCCATTCGTATAAAATCTACTTGTTTAATTTACAAAATGAATGATTATTTTTATTTATTATTTTTTTTTTTTTATTATTTTCTCATTTTTCTCTAATACATTATTGAGAACATGCATTTTCAAAATAAGATAAAATATAGAAATATCAGAAAGTAGTAAAATGTTATATTTGAAATAAAAAAACTAGGGTAAAAAAAAATAGAATAATATTCATTGAGAACGTATTTTTTTAAAATGAAGATTTTTTTTTAATAAAAATATTCTATAATACCATATTCTATTAATAATTTTACCTAATAGGAAAATATTAAATTAAAATTTTTATAATTTTATAAATTCAAACAACATTGATCAAAAAAACAACTCACCTTTCAAATAATATTAAACAAATAAACCATATTATCTAATACTTATAGATTTATATCTGAAAATTCTAAATTTAAAACAATAGAAATAAAAAAAAAATTCCATAAAAAAAATTTAATTTTAATGTAACTAGAATAACCTCTTTTTTTTTTTTTTTTTTTTTTTATAATATACTTAATATTATTTAACATTTAAAATTGTTTAATTATTAAAATTTAAATTTAACTTTTTACTAAAATACATAAATTTCAAAAGAATATAAATAATAATCAAGTGAAACTATTAAAACTGAGACTAAAATAATAAAAAATGTTCTATTTTAATAACTTAATTTTAATGTTTTTCTTTCCTAATAGTCTATATTTTATTAAAATATCAGCTTAATATAGAATACATTTTTTATAAAACTATTTTAATTATTTCTATATGAATTTGGAAGTAAGAACAAAAATAATTATGTAAAAATTTTTAAGTTTAAAATATAAATCTAAATCTTTTCTTTAATCATTTATGCTAATATATATAGTATTTTATAAATATTTATGTTCAAAATTTATGTACTTAAAAATGTTTGTTAATTTACATGTGTGCATAAAGAGAAAATATAATCACATATATCTAATTTTTCATCTATCCTCAAAGAGTTTAAGACAATTATTAGATATAAATACAAGAGTAATTAAAAAAAAAAAAAGAAAAATCTGTTTACAACAGAAAAAATTGATTATTGTTGATAAAATGTTTTAATTTATCTAGGAAATATCAAATATTAGTTACTTCTTTTTTTTTTTTTTTTTTGTTAAAAATATAAAAGAATTATCAGAAAATCAAACATATTGTTCTTCATATATATATATTTAATAAAAAAATTTTATTTAAATTAACATTAATATTTTAATCCTTAATAAATTTCATCATTAATATAACATTTTCAATTTTTTTTATTTTATTTTATTTTTTTTAACTGTTTATTGTTGTTAATATAATGAATAGAAAAATTTTTATAATTTTAATAAAATTTTTTATTTTTAAGGAAAAGTATATTTAATTTAATACTAATGAATATTAAAAAAAAAAAAAATAAAATAAAATAAAATAAAATATTCAAAAATGAATAAATAGAAATTTCATTGTTTTGCAAAACTTAAAAAATAAATTATTTTAAAAAATTCGAAAAAATTAATTTTCTTATAGAATAATTTTTTTCAAAGTTTATATTTCCTATTTTTTTTTTTTTTTTTTTATTAATTTAATTTAATTTCTCTCAATGTTTAATGTACCAAAATTTTTTATTTTTACTTATAAAAAAAATTAATGCAAAAGAATATCCTACTAAAGTTAAAAGAAATTATCTTTTGTTCAAATTATGAAAGACATGCAAGCTTTTTTATTATTATATCATTTTTTTTTTTTTTTTTTTTCTTTTCAAATTATACAATATTTATTTAATCTATTTCTCATATTTATTTTGAATTAATAAATATAAATAACAAAATAGGTATTTTATGTTCATACTTTTTATTTGTTGCATGACTAAAATTTTTTGGTTCATTTTGAGAGAAAAAAAAAAAAAAAAAAAAGAGTTAACAAGCAAAAGAAAAGTTTGAAGTATTTTATTCACTAAATAAAATACTTTTCTCTTTGATTCATTATCTTTAAATGAATAATCAAATATTATTTATATTTTGTTGATTACAAAATATATATAAATTTTGTTTATATTTGATATGTAGATATGCATATGCATTTATATAATATAGAAAAAATCTGTAAAGGATATACAAATTTTATTTATATATAAAAATTATCTTACATGTTCTTTTTTTGTAAATAATTAAATAATAATTAATCGATTTATTGACCCAAATTTAAATAAGGTTCAAAAAAATTTCATTATTTATTTTGTAAAAATATTTAACTAAAAATAGGGGAGATTAAAACTTCATAATTAGTTACTTTTTTAACCCCTTTTTTCTTTCTTTGTTAAACAACATTATATGAGCATTTATTTGATTTTTTTTTCTGTCTTAACTTATTTTGCAAAAACACTATAATGAAAAGATTAACTATTTTTTTTTTTTTTCTTATTTTAAATATTCATATCTAATTATAGAAAATGTGATGTTGACATTTCTTAAATTAAAAATCATTATATTTATGTAATACAATTATTTTTTTTTTTTTTTTTTTTTTTTTTGCCTTCAACTACATGCAAATTAAAAAAATATAAACTTATAAATTTGAAAAATGTAAAATATTTATATGTTTTATTTGTTTATTTTTTAAAGTTTTAAAATATAATCAATCAATCTTTAAGTGTGTAGCTTTTTTACATTAAAAACTGTATTTATTATTATGAAATTTAAAAATATTTATTTTGTTCGTATTTTAAAATAAACTGTTTTAATACAAATTACCTTTTTTTTTTTTTTTTTTTTTTTTTTTTTTGAGTCTTTAAAATATATATATATATTTTTTTTTTTATGTTGATTTTTTATTAAGTACTTTTTTTTTCTTTACTTTTTTTTATTATTAGAATTTTTTTTTCGATTATATATTCATTTGTGAATAACGCAATGAATTATAAAAATCATATAATTAAAAAATTTATATATTTATACAATATTAAAAGATGAATTATAATGATGAATTATTGAAATTTGTGAGCAAAAATTATATTGGGATATCAAAAAATGACAATTATTTGAAGTCCATTTTAAAACCAAAGGAGTTAGAGAATTTAAGGTTAATTTGTCCCAAATGTAAAGATAATATTCTTAAAGAACTTTATGTAGAACATTTATATATGTGTTCACAAAACTTTTCAAATAACAAAAACATTTGATTTATGTTAAAATATTAATAAGACTAACTGAAGTATGCTTGAAAAAAAATATAATTATGAAATTGTGAGATGCATTAAAAGTTAATAAAAATATATTTATTTAAATATGAGGAAAATAACAAAAAAAAAAAAAAAAAAAAAAAAATGTATATTCAGTAGCTAGTTATGAATATATTGAAGATATATGTTTATTTATATAAACATAAAATGTTTCAGTAAAAATTAAACTATAGGGGTATAAAATTTAAGCAATTTTTCTTTTTTTCCTGTTTTATATTTATATAAGTTATTTGTTTTTGTTTTCGTTTTTGTTTTTGTGATTTAAATTTTATATTTTTCGTTGAAATCTGATATTTTGTTCGGAATTATTTTTTTAATTAAATAATTTCGTAATTTTTTACCAAAAAGAACAAAAGAAAAATATTTTTAATTTTTCTTTTGAATAAAATCTTTAAAAATTAAATTTTTTTTTATTTTATAATTGTTTACTTACACATTATTTCTATGTTTTAAGTTATTATTTTTTTTTTTTTTTTTTAAATAAAAAATTTTAATTTATTATTTAGCCTAATATAGATATTTGTTTCTTTTATAAATATGTAACTGAAAGTTAAATAAGACTTAATTTCACAATAGTTTTCTTTCATTTTTAAATATTTATTTTTATAAATAAATAGTTAATTTAAAAAAAAAATAGAACTTTAATGGAAATATTATATTAAAAAAAAAGATAAAAATTAATATTCTTTTAGTAATCAATAAAATGTTAAAAAAAAAAAAAAAATAATTACTAAGAAGAAAATTTAAAAATAAAAATATAAAAAATTAATTACAAAATTTGATATTTTAGTAAATTTTTTTTTTAATATGATTGAAATATTACTTTGTATTTTTTAATATGAATGTAAAAAAATTTTTTTTTTAAAAATCGTTATATGAGAACATAAGTAAAATGAAAATTGATACTTTCTATAATTTTAAATAATATAATTATAGAAAAAATATATAATTCAAAAAAAAATTTCAAAATAATGAATTATATAGAAAGAAATAAAATTGAAACTATTTATAAAGATGATTACACAGATTTTACTAGACTAAGTGACTTTGAAATTTTTACAAAGGATATTTTAGTAAGCTTAAAAAAATTAAATATTAGAGAAACAAAAAAAAAGTATGAAAATAAGTATGCTTTTGTAAATAATGAAAAAAATAAAACTCCTTTAGCTCCATTGTCTTTAGTTATAATTGTTGAAGACAGCTGTAACTTGTTAAAACAATATATAAAAAAGGATTATATAATAAAATTAAATTATGTATATTTTCCATATAATAAATGTCAAAAAATTTTTCCATTTCATAATAATTCATATATTTATAATAAAAATGTTACAATTGCAAATTCTTTTTATTGTTTACATGGTAATTTAAACTGTTCAGAAATTTCCTTATTTCCAGCCCGAACCTTCCCAATACAAAGATTTTTTTTTGGTAAAAAAAAAAATTTTTTCATTTTTCATTTTTATTCTTTTTTTTTTTTTTTCTAAACCATTATATATTATGCATATATGTAATTTTATATTATAATTTTGCTCAATATAATACTTTCTTTTTGTACATTTTATCATCCTTATATTTTGTGGGTTTTATACTTATTCCTTCTTTTTTTTTTTTTTTTTTTCATAGTTAATGAATACATAGAATTAGAAATAAATGATAAGAGTGAATTGGAGGAAGAACGATGTATTAGTATTGAACAATTTTCAACTAGTAATTTAATTTTAAATAGTTTAAAATTAGCTCTTAGTGAATTAGATATATCAATACCTACCTTTATTATAATTGATAAAAATGAACACATTTATCGTGGACATTTTCATACAAGTGATTATATATATTATAAATGTGTAAATCCTTTTAAACCAAATCATAGAAAAAACAAAAAAAGAAATAATAAAGAACAAAAAAAAGATAATAGTATATATAATAATGGAAAAGAAGAAAACTATAATGCATTATTTAAGGGTGTTGGTTTAGAAGTAAATTACCATTCATTTAAATTTTACAATTATTTCAAATGTTTCACTTTTGACCATTTATTATCATTATTTTGCTTATTTATATATTTATCTAATATAAAAGGAAATAATATTTATAATATAAATGTTCATCTAAAAAATATTTATTTAATTGATAAACTACATAATTATAAAATATATAGATCGGTAAATTTAAAAAATAAAAAATATAATTTATTAAAAATAAAAGCGAAAGAAGCGAAGCAAAATTATAAAAGTAATTATGCCAAAAAAAATAGATATATGCTCAACATTTATAGAAATAATTTTTCTTACATATATTTAAATAATATATTCAATTACAAAAAAAAAAAAAGGCATTACAGAAGAAAATTATACCTATCTTATTTTACGAAAATATGTAATAATTATGATGATATTATTCTTAAAAAAAATACAGACAATATGGAGAATAGTGATTTATATAATAATAAAAATAATTTTTGTAAAAGTAATTATGTAAACCCTCTTAAAAAAATAAAAACAACATTTTTATCAGATGATGACTATAATTTTTCTGACTATTTTTCATTTTATGAATCTTCGTATTCTAACCTAACAAATGAAAATCTTAACATTAAAAAAAAATCAACGTTTGAAGAAATAAATCATTTATTTGATATTATTAGAAGACATAAAAATATATCAAAAAATGATAACAATTTTTTTTTATCTATTTATGTTCTAAATTTTATTAAAAATATCCAACATAAAATTTTAAATAATAATGAAAATGAGAAAAATAAAATAATAAATATTTGGAAAATAAGATTTATAAATAATGATAAATACAAAGGAAAAAACAGTTTTTTATTGAAAAATATTTTGAGATTATACTATAATGAATTGATAGAGTTAAAGAAAAAAAAAAATGAAAAATCATATAAAAATGATCAATATATTGAAAATCATATCAATCGTTATTTATCTGCAAAAAATAAGGAATGGTTAAAAGATTTTGAAGAAACTTCATTCATTCATTTTAATATAGAAGATGAATCTACGAGATATCATATAGACAACATTTTAAATAATATGTTCAGCAGTAACCAAAAAAGAATATATGAATATAATTATATGAAAAAAAAGAGACATATTCATTTAAGAAATACAAAAAATATAAATAGAACATATGTAAAAAAAAAAAATGATAATGAATCTTATTACTTAAATAAAATACCATTATATAATAATTTATTAGACAATAATGATGGATATGCATATAAGAACAGTTTTTATCCACATAAAAAAAATGAAAGTTTTTCCTTTAAAATCAATAAAATATATCATAAATTCTACAAAAATGAAAGCAAAATTTTTTGTCCATTTTTATGTAAAAATCACTTTTTAAAAAGGAATTATATATACAAAAAACAAAAAAAAAAAATTGAGTTTTTAAATTCAAAAAAAAAAAATATAAAAAAAAAAGAAAAAGAAAAAGAAAAAAGATTACAACAAATTATAAAGGATTTTTTATTGATTAAAAAAAAATATTTTTTATGTCATCAAGAAGAAAAAATCTCAATTTTATTTTGCTATTTAGTAAGCCATTCAAGTAATATTAAAACCTTCTATTATATATGGAATCAGTTTTTTGATATTTTAAGAAATAAATACGAAAATAATGAGTATATTTTTAATGATTATTTAGTTTTATCATATGGTCCACTTAACATTTATTCTTATTCATGTTCTATTATTTCTCAATATATTAAAGCATTAAATATATCAACACAACAATTTAAAATTAACGAAAATATAAATCAAATTAAGCAGAAAAAAACATTAAACTTATTTTGTAACAATAGTGATAGCTCTGCATTATATGATAACTCAAATTTAGATGATTTGTTGAATCGTAATGAAAATAATACAAATACTAATATTACACTTAATAATAGTAGTACCTCTTCAGCTAATTCAAAAAATCATATTTTAGATGATAATATAATTTATTCTTGTGAATTGAATAATAATGTATGTAAAAATAAAGTAGTTAAAAATAGCAATTATAATTTTGAATTAGAATATATTAAAGGATCTAAAGATATATTAACAAAAAATTCACATATACAATTAGGAAATAATAATAATAATGTCAACAATGATTATATTAATAACATTAATAGTGACAATATTAAAAATTATAGAGATAATAATAATATCATTTCTCTAATGAAAAGAAATATGAATGAAAAAAAAATTGTTATATCGAATTTTTTTCCATTTCCTTTAAATAATATAGAATTATTTATAAGTAAAAATAGTGTTTGCACAAAAAATGTAAATGATCAGGATGATATGATTTTTTTGATTTACGAAATATTAAAAAATAAAAACAAAGATAATTATAATTTTAATGATTTCATAAAATGGTATAAAGGAAACATAGGAAGAGTATATACCTCTCAAAATTTATTGAAATATTGTTATAATTGTATAAAAAATAGCTACTTTGTTAATATTGACGCTTATTATATAAAAAATAAGTATATAGAAATAAAAAGAAAGTATTATTTAAACAATGATTATTTAAAAAGTATGTTTGATTATGTCAAAACTAATTATGATTATATAAAAAAAATAAAGAGCCCATTTAATACATTTTTTGTTGGTGAATTAAACTTAGATAATTTATTAAATATGAGCATTTTAGATATATTAGAATGTTCTTATAGAATATTTTTTATATCTTACATTAATTTCATTATGCATTCCAAATTAATTTACATAAAAAAGATTCAAGACGTTCTATCAAAATTGTTCACTATTTTAAAAAATTTGCATAAAAAAAAAAAGAAAAAAATTAATAATTTTCTAAAATCTTTATTAAAGAAATGTGATTTGCAAACAAATAAAAATGAACCAAAACATGAATCTCAAAAAAATCAAAAAAACGAACAGAGTAATAATCAACTTAATGATATGAATAATTCTCTAACAAATAATTATTTTATGAAATATAAAGATACAAACAACCAAACTGAATATAATAGGAAAGAAAATAATTTTAAAATTGATAAAAGGGAAAGTAAAAATAATTTAAGAAAAATTAAAAATATAAATAGTTCTGAAAAAAATAGCACCAATAGTTTAGATATGTCTTATAAAGAACAAAGCTTAAATTATAAGAATAATTACGGTAGTAGTAAAGATGAGGACTATTTCAAAAATTATTATCGTCATTCTGAAGATGAAAAAAAAAGAATTATTCATAATGATACAAGTTTTATAAAGAGAATTAAAAAAATATACAAAAAAAGATATAAAATAATTTTTAACAAAAAATTATTTCACTTATTTGAAAAATGTGAAGAATTATATGATAAAAGTGTTTGGCTCTTTAAAATATTTAGTAGTAATTTAAATGAGAAAAAGATTTATAAATTAATAAATACTATATTAGAATCTGATGAAAAAGAAATCATTATAAAACCGAAATATGAAAAATACTTTTATAACTTTATAAAAAACTTAGGCTTATATAACAGTAGAAATCTATATGATAAAAAGTTAAGTAATAATTTAAAATTTAATAGGATAAACCAATCAATTTTACAGAAAAATAACTTAAAAAAAAATATAAAAGCAAAAAATACGAAATATAATATTAGCAATTCTTATCAAAATTTTGGAGTATCAGTAAAAATTAAAAAAAATGAACCATTATTGAAACAGTTGAATAATGAACAAGGTATTCTTTATAGAGATAAGTTTTCTTTATTATTACATTCAAATAATAAGGAGCAGAATATTCAGGAATGTATAATAGATTATGCTGACTATAATTTCTTTAATCCATTTTATAATAATCCATCAAGAATGTATTGTAGTGTTAATCAATTTGATTCAACAGTTTCTTTTATCAAAGTATCACCAATTTTATAATTTATTTTTATTTATTATTTTTTCCGATTTTATTTATATACTTATATATTACATCTTTCAAATTTTAAATAAATTTATTTGTTTTCTTCTTTTTTTTTTTTTTTTTTTTTTTTTTTTTAAATTTGTTTAATTAAATTTCATATGTATTTTTTTGTTGTCTAATGACGTGTAAAATATTAGTCGGCTTTAAAAAAAGTATTTGTATTAAAAAAAAAAAAAAAAAAAAAAAAAAAAANTTTTTTTTTTTTTTTTTTTTTTTTTTTTTTTTTTTTAAATTTGTTTAATTAAATTTCATATGTATTTTTTTGTTGTCTAATGACGTGTAAAATATTAGTCGGCTTTAAAAAAAGTATTTGTATTAAAAAAAAAAAAAAAAAAACAATAAAAATATTACAATAATATATGCTAAACTAGATAATTAAATAAATCTTTAGCAACACAATGATCAATACAAACATATAATTCCTCATATTGACCTAAACAATTTCCTTTATCATCAGTTCTTGCTTTTACCCTACTTACACAGTTTTGATATTCATTAACTGGTCGAACACATTTCACTGCACATTTTTTTTCTAATTCTATTTTTGGATCCACAATTCTATCTTTTTCTTCCCTTTCTTTAAATTTTGGGTAACGAACAAAAAATTCTGGGTTATATGGATATGACATATTTATATATACTCTTTTTTAATATCACAAGAATTTTTTTATTTTTGATTCCTCTTTTTTAATTAAAATTATAATTTATGAAAATTTTAAATTGAAAAAAGTCTCAATATATTGAAAAAAAAAAATTATGTTTCTTTATTTTTTCATATAAAATAAAAATGTTATTAATAATACAAATTTTTTCTATTAAAATATTAATTTATTACTTTAAATTTTCGTCAATTTATAAAAACTTTTATTAATATTTTTTTTTTTTTTTTTTCAAATAGAAAGTTTCATATGAAAAAAAAAAAAAAAAAAAAAAAAAAAAGGGGTAATAATAATAATTAGCTTTTGTTAAAAAAAAAAAAATATATACTAATTAAAGTCTTCATAAAAAAAAAGATATTAAAGTTTTTATAAAAAAAAAAAAAAAATATATTGGTGTTTTTATATATATAAAAAAACAAAACTATTAAAAAAAAAAAAAAAAAAAAAAAAAAAATACTATTATATTGCAATTTAAATACAATGCAAATCCAAATTTTGAATATAACTTTTACAGAAAATTCAATACATACATAAAAAATGATACATTTTTAAAAACAGTAATTTTTATAAAAATAATGGAACTAATTTGTGCAATAAATTTATTGTAAATTTACAGTGTATATATATAATATGGTTATTAGAAATAAAATAATAATTCTAAAAATCTTGCTTTTCATATATGTTATTTTATTTATTGAAGGTTTACAATACTTCAATTTATTAAGCAAAAATAATGAAAGCATAAATAAATTAATAATTAGCTTTAAAAGGCACAAAACTTTTATAAAAAAAACAGTAAATGAAAAAAATAAGAACAATTTTTATATTCCATTAAAAATTAACAAACAAAAAATAAAAATTAATAGTGATGTTAACAAAATAAAACATTACGCTTACTTTAATTCTTTACTACAAAAAAAATCACTTTTTCTCTTTTCAAAAAAAAATAGTAATGAAAGGAAAAGTTATCTATCCAAAAAAAAATACTCGTATAAAAAAAAATTCATTTTATATGAAAATGGAAGGAATAATAATATAACAGAAGAAAAGAAAATTAACTTAATTAACAATATACAAAAGAACTATTTGTCAATTGATTTAACTGATGAAAATAATGAGACCAGTGATATATTACTAAAAATACATATAAAAGGTAAATTGAGAGAATATTACTATGATTTTTGTGTAAAAAAGTATAAAGAAAATAAATTAAAAGAAAATAAATATGAATATTCATATTTAAATGATGTTCCTATCAACAATTTAATTAATTATATAGATAAAAATGACTACTTTAGAATTTTTTTAAAATATGTTAACGAAGATATTATAAAAGTTTACAAAAGTATAAAAAATTTACATTTAATAGGGTCACCAAGATTATTAAATAGAATTGATCATATTCATATAAGTAAATTTGATGATATAACTTTAAATTTTTCAATTGATAAATATCCAACTATCAAATTTAATAAATCATATATAAATTTAGATTTAATTGTCAAAATACCTCCATATGAAAAGGGTTCTGCATTTAAAGAATTCTTAAAAATTCTTAAAAGCGAAAATGAAATTACAATAGATTCTGATGAAAATTATAAAGTTGAATGGAATAATGATGTTCAAATAAATGTTTTAAGAGGATGGGTTTATAACTTTAATAATATTTATTATGATGAATTCTGCAAAGTTGAATCAAATAACAATAAAAAAATTGGGATCATAAATAATGAAAAAAAAGTAATGGATGAGGAAAGTGTTGATAAGGAAAAAGATATATTGAAAAATAATAAAATTAACGACTTAATAGACATAGATAAGGATGAGGAAAGTTTTATTAACAACTCAGATAATTATAAGGAAAATTCAAAAGATGAAAATGATGAAAACTTATTTAATGATACAGCTAATGATAATAGTGATTATGAATTTTTGAAAAATGTGGAATACAATAGCTATTTTAAACAAGGTTACCAATTACCTAATAATATTATTTCAATGAACAACTCCACCGTCTCAATAAAAGAAAATTATAATCCTTTAGGTCTTAATGAATCTTTAATTGGAATGGGAAGAAATGAAAAAAAAAATATAACTGTATATATACCAATTTATTTATTCAAAGACTATTTTCAAAATAATCAATTGCATTATGATAAAAATATAGATGAAGTTATTAATTTAAAAGAAATCAATAAAGAAAGCATAAATAAATTTAGAGAAATAATCTATAAAGAAATTAAAAAAATGAAACATAACAGTGTTTTTCAAAAAATAGAAGATGTTTTAAAAAAGAATGAAAATAAGTTTTTTGACAATAATACTCTAGAAAAATCCTTGAAAAAGCATGATGAAAATAATGAAGAGAAAAAAGAACATGAAGAGGAGAATAATGCAAATAGCAAAACAGAAGAGGAATATTATTATGAAAGTAATGAGGAAGATATTGATTCTATCCTAAATGATGATGACGTTATATGTGATGAAGATAAAAATGAAAAAAAAAAAAAAAATAAACAAAATGAAAAAAATGAGATAGATGAAAATAAGGAAAAAAATGAAGAAGTAAATTTCAATAAAAGATTTGATAAGTATTTAGAAGAATTATTAAAAGATGACATTAATTCACTTGACAATAATTTATATAACATAAAAAATGATAAAACAAAAGAAATTTTTCAAAATATTTGTGATTTTAGTGAAAACGATAAAGAAGAAATGGTTGATGAAGATTTACATGATTATATATTAGGAAAAAGTGACTTAATTAAATGTGTTTTAGAAGTGGAAGTATTAAATATTAAGATAAGAAAAGAACAAAATCAAAATATAAATGATTATATTTTAAAAAAATACAATAAAACATATGATGAATTATATGATGACATAGAAGAAAGAGCTATAAAGGATATACAAAATAAATGTATTCAACAAAAAAGAATGGAGGCATATAAAAAATTAATGGAAATAACTTCTTTAAATGTCCCCATAACTTTATTTCGTGCACAAGGAAAAAGAATGTATAATAACTATCTTAAAAATATGAAAATGAAAAAGGATGAAAATGAAAAAACAGAAAACATTTTGAATTTTGAAGATTATATAAAAAAATCGCAAAAGGATATTTACGATCAGATCAAATTTTCTTTTATAGTTAAATCAATTTTTCAAAATTCTAATTTAAAATTAAATTACGAAGAAATTATAAAAGACGTTATAAAAGCATTAATTAAAACGCCAACAAATAATGTAAAAAATTTAATAAAGAGAATTTACACTATACATCAAGCTCAATGTGTTCTGGATTTTGTTTCTCTCAATGCTAATACTTCATATGATACAGATCATTCATCTATTAATTTTTCCGTTAACTTAAAAAAAGGGTCACATTATACAAATGAATTTTTAAATGAAGATTCACATAAATTAAATAAATCAGAAATACTTGATGATATAAATTTACTTGAAAAGGACAAAAACAACAATAAATTATGTAATGAAAAAAGTGAAGAAAAAATTCTTCACTTTAACGACGATGGTCATTATGTAATTGAAAAAAAAAAAGAAAATGAAGAAAGCATTGAATTAGAATATTATACATTTAGAAAAGGTGCTAACTACACTAAATATTTTCACGACAAAAATAAAAAAAGCAATTAAAAAAAAATGTTTCTTTGAATTGTGTGTTATAAATTGCTTATGATTTAAAAATGCAAAAAAAATTAATTTTATCTGCATTTGTTGTTTTGCTAGGATAAATAGATTTATTTTTAATTAATATTTTAACTAGGTATATATTTGCATGTATTTGTTGTAAGAATTTATGGTTTATAAAATTTATTTTTTTCACATTTTTAAAAAAAAAAAATATTGGATTTTATTGTAGATTCCTTTTATAATTAAGCTCTAATTTCAATATTTTTATATATTTATTTTTTTCTTTTGCATGTGGTTTACTTTAAATTAATCTAGAAAAAGTGATTCAATTTTTTTTAATGACAAAAAAAAAACCGAGAAAAAAATATAGAACATAAATACATCCTTTCGTAAAACTTAAAAAAAAAATTTAGTTAATTTTTTGTATTATTTTTTAATGAACAAATCTAAGATAATATTATAAGACTTTTATGTAAATATTTTTAGAAAAATGAAAACATGCATTCTCATATACATTTTCAGTATAAATTATTTATTAAAAATATTTATATATTGTGACTCTTCTCTCAATAAAAACAAGGGAAAGCCACTTCCATATGACCATCCAGAAAATTTTGAAGTTACAAAAGAATATAAAAATAATTTAGAAGAAGATGATTTACAAATTAAAAAAAAACAATTGTTTAAGGAAGGAGATAAAGATAGTATAGTTGTTGAGAAAACAGAAGAAAACAAGGAATTAAAAAGAGAAAATAAAGAAGAAATAAAAGAAAAGAAAAAAGAACAAACAAAAGAGGAGAATAAAGAAAAATTGCATGAAAAGAGTAAAGAAGAAATAAAGGGAAAAAATAAAGATATAAATAGAGAAAATAAAGAAGAAATAAAAGGAGAAAATAAAGAAGAAATAAAAGAAAATAATAAAGAAAAAATAAAAGAGAAGAGCAAAGAAGAAATAGAAGGAGAAAATAAAGAATATGTGGGTACTGATATCACAGAAAAAAGGAATATTGAAGCTGAAGAAAATGAAAAAAAAATTAATGAATATAATAATAATAATAAAAACACATCACATAAATCTAAATCAAAAAAAATAGATGTTTCTATCTATGAACAAACTATTTTAAATACTTTAACTAAATATAAGGAAGATATGGAACTATATGAGGAAAAACTAAAAAAAAATGAACTAAGTGAATTTTATGATCTTATAATGAAAAGAAGAAATCTTTTAAGCATAAATTATAAAAATGAGTACTTATTAAAAATAAACTATGGTAAAGGATATAATTTTCCCCTGCATAATCTAAACGTAGTTAACGAGGAAAAAATGAAAGAAAAGTTTTATTCAAATTTTACATATATAAGAGATGAAGATAATTCAACCTTAGAAACATTATCATATTATTCTAATTTAAGTAGCATAGATATAGATCCCACTATATTTAAAGAATATTATATGAAATCAGATCAATGTAAAGAATATTTGCCATTGAAAAGTTCATTTATTGAAAAAATATGTTTTGTCGCAAATTATATAAAAAAAAATCCATACATTGTAAAAGTAAATACTAAAAGTAAAAAACCTCTTTTATATCGTATGTTTTTAAAAATAATAAAAGCATTTAAAAAGTTATCTGCAAAACATTGTATTAAAAATGTAGAAGAATCCAATCTTCTTGATGTACTTTTCATTTTTAATGAAGAACTTATTAAAGAATCAAAAAAGGAACTTAATTTAGGAAAGTGTATAAATAATATAATTACAAGAAACAAAGAATGGTATGAAGTATTTAACTTTCTTGCTTCTATTATATTCGGTTGTTCATCATATGTAAAAGAACATTATTATTTAAATGTAGAAGAAAAAAATGAAATATATACTAAACAAAAATTAATAGATTTACCAATATTTGATTATCTTAATCAAGATAAAGTTGACTTTTTTTTACCATATAATTTAGGGACAAAAGTTGATATAGACTTATACAAGGATGTTTCTGATCCTCCTCCATACAAAAGAGCAATTTTTAAAACCTGGTATGTATGCTATTTGTTTATTCATAAAGTATATGTTTTAAGTAAAATGTGGAATTTATTAAAACACTGGAAAGCAGCAAAATATGTACCTAAACCATGGTTTATACAACATGTAGGAAGTAGTATTATTCCTCATATAATTAGTTTGTATGATAAAAAAAAAAATAGATATATATATTTTAGATATCTTGACGAAAACCAGTTTTTCATACATTTTAAAAGAAGTAAAAAATATCCACTACCAAATTTTGATAAACAAAATTATGATATCATTGAAAATATAATTGCTTTTCAAGGAACATCAAGTCCATCTATGTGGATTTTTAATTTGATATATGAATTGTCTCCATATGATATATTAAGTAAAGGAAAAATGCATAAAGGATATATATTTATATTTGAAAAGGCTGTTAAACCATATTTAGATGTTTTAAAAGAAAGTATACAAGATGAAATTAATGACAGTTCTAAGTACACAAGTGAAAATCCATATACTCTTGTTTTTACTGGACATTCATTTGGTGCAGCTATGGCTCAGCTAAGTGCATTTTATATGTCCAAAGTTATGGATGTAAAAAATAATAGCACTTTAAAAATATATGCTATTACATTTGGATTACCAACTTTTTATGATGTTGAATTTTCCAATGATTTTCGTAATAGTGGAGCCATTATTAATAACATTAATGTTAATTATGATCCAGTACATGCAGCTATGGCAATTCCAGAAATAAATAATTTCCATAACCCTGATGAAAATAACAATGTAATGATAACTTTTAATGTTGAAGATTTAAAACACTTAAATTATGATTTTGGTAATAATACCTTTTATGGAGATGAAATTTTTAATTCAAAAAATCATCATAATCATACTATGACGCACTTCGTTACTAAATACGTTTTCAAAAAAAACATTTTCTTAGATTTGAGAGAACTACACATTTCTCAAACGCACTATTTTTTTTATTATGTATTTTTAACACTTTTATCAGGATGGGCAAATGAAGCAGATTGGGGTACGTATTTTATGGTAACATATTTCTTATATGACATTTCTAATTATTTTCACAATGAGTTGATGAATAAGTCAAAAGAATCATATAAAAAATATAAAGAACATATAATGAAAAAAAAATTACAAAGTATTAAAGGTAAGTCCAAAAAAAAAAATTAGTTAATGTTATAAAAAGAAAAAACGAAAAAATTCCCCAAAGTTAACCATGAAATTCACATATATATATTTTTTTTGTACAATATTTATTAAAATTTTTCTTTTTAAATAATTAAATTTTTATTTATTTTTTTAATAATATTAATTTCTTTTTAATAATTTTTAGTATAATTTTTAATATTTTGTTAATTATATTTTTTATTTTATAATAAATTAGTTATTAATGTGTAAAAAAATTATTTGTTTATAATTGTTAAAATGCATTGAAGTTTTTTTTATATGATAGTTTTAATTTTTAAAGTTTTTTTTTTATTTTTAAATATATTTTAATTATATAGAATATAAAATAAAAGAAGTTTTTTTTTTAAGTTTTTTATAAGAAGATAAACATATTGAAATAATAAAAAAAATTAAATGAAAATGAAAAAAAAAAAAAAAATGAAATTCTATAAAAAATAAGAATATCTATAATTTCTTTTTATATATTTATTAAATGAATATTAATATTATTCCTCATTTATATATGATTAAGACATAATTTTGATATGTCTACAATTAAGGAGGGATTCGATTTCAGTTCTTCGAACCCTTTAGTAAATATAATATGCTGAGAATTTACCTTAATAAAATTTAAGCAATGATATTTTAATTCAATTGCATTATACATATCTGCATGTTTTAACAAATAGCATGCATTGTTAATATTAATTTTAATAATAAGAGCATTTATGCATAACCCTTTTAAAATATGTATAGAATATTCATTTGATAAACCCATAATTTCAGTTAAAATTGTGTAAGAAATATTATAAATATTTTTTAACCTTCCAGTGTAAAGAAATTCAATCATTTTAATATATGACTCGTACGACCAATTACTAACTTCTAATATACATTTTTTATCTTGAACTGAATTGTCAGAAAATAAAGATTTAAAATATGAATCATGAATACATAAAATATTTTTATGTGCATATATTTTTTTGTTTTGGACTATAATTGTTAAATCAGAAAATTGTGGATTATTTACTAAATTGTGTAACTTCTTAAAAATATTTTTAATGGAAATATCAGTTAACATCTTCTGTTCTATTTTACTAGCATCAAAAATACACAGATCATTATACCATGTATTTCCATCAAAACCACCAAATACAAATATTTGTTTTTCTTTATAAACACAACAAGTATGTCTTTGTCTGCAGTGAGGAGTATTTTTTTTGGGAGGAATTAAAGTAATATTTTTTCTTTTAATATCAATGATATATGTACTATTTAATCTTTCATTTCCATTATATCCACCAAAGAGAAAAATTTTTTTAAATAAAAGACAGCTTGTATGTCCTGCTATACAAGGTAATAAAAAATTTGAAAATTTTATTTCTGTCCAAATTAATTTTTTTGTATTAAGCATAAACAAATCATTTAAATAAGAATTAATAGAACGACCACCAAATAAATATAAATTGTTATTCAAATTTATCATAGAATGAGCATTTCTCGGACAAGGAATAGAACCTATAGTATCAGCACAAATCCATTTTCTTTTTTCCGTATCAAAAATTTCTACATTATTAGAACAGTTGTTTCCATCAAAACCACCAAATAAATAAAGTTTATTTCTTACTGCATTTAATGTGTGACATGCTCTCTGAGATGGCCAGTATTCAAATTTTTTTTTTTTTATTTCAATAAAGTAAATATGATTATGTGAACAGCTATCTTTTTCTTCAATGGGTTCCTCTGAATATAAACTGGAACTACTGCATGAACTTGATTCTACCTTACATTTTTTATAAAACGAATTACATTTACTGTTTTTTAAATTTAGCTTACCCAATGAATTAACTGCACCATTTACATTTAAAATATGCATGTCATCTAGCCATTTTTCTGAATCATGACCACCAAAAATATAAATTTTTTCATTAATACAGCATGAAGCATGGTTATTTCTAGGAAGAGGAACATAAAATTTTTCTTTTATATCTCCTTCATAAATACTACTTAAGATATTATAATTAACTGAAGTTCTTTTTGAAAAAAGAGAATAATAGTCATAATCATCATTTAATTTTATGGTAAATTTTAATTTTTTAACTTTTTTTTTTCCTCCTTTTATATCATACTTTTCACTTTTATTTTTTAATTCACCTTCTTCATCTTTATATTCTTTATCTTCATTTTCTTCATCTTCTCCATATTCATCCTCTCTATCTTCTTCATCTTCTACTTGTTCTATGTCTATTTCCTGAATTTCTTCTTCCCTATCTTTTATTTCTATATTTTTTCTTTCTTTTTTTCTTGATCTTTGTTCCTCTTCTATTTCTTCATCTTCTGAAGTTTCACTTTCAAAACTTGGGATGTGAATGTTTTTATATGTTAAATTTTTTTCAAGTGAATAATAATTCATTTTAGAATAATATTTTTTTAAAGCTTTGATTTTTTCAAAATAGTATTCTGCTTTTTTATAATCAACAAAAAACCACTTTTTTTGTTCAATATCATAAACATAAAGATCATTTAAAGCTTTTTGCCCATTCCATCCACCAAATAGAAAAAGTCTATTTTCTATGATATTGCATGTATGTGATGCTCTGTTAGATGGAAATGAAAAAGCTGAATTATGTTCTTTATCGTAATATCTATCATATGAATCCTTTATGTCATTCCAGAAGGAATTTCTTTTACAGTTATGAAAAGAAGTAGATTCTCTAATTATTTTTCTATCATTAATATAAGTATTCCTTTTTTTAAATTTTTGGCTTATCCAACATTTAGAATATATATCTACGTTAATATTTTTGATTAATTCACTATATTTTTTTTTGTTATATTTATTCCTATTATTGGATATATTGTTCTTTATTTTATTCAAAAACTTCGTACTATTTTCCTTTGAAAAACATAAAGAAGCATCCTTATTATTTAATGTATTTTGTGATATTGAATTTTCAATAGATAAATTATTTGGCATTTTAATTTCCTGAAATTCTTCAATTTTGAAATAATCTCTGCTATCACTTATAAAAATGTACTTATCATCAGAACTAAAATGAAAACTACGATTCTTAACATGCACATTATCACTCACCTTATTTTTCTCTTTTGATTTACAATCATTTATAGCTGTATCAGTAATAAAATCTTTAATATCATTTTGAATAGAGCTACATTTTCTACCGAAGTTTGGATCACATCTTATAATATACTCTCTATCTGATTTTTTCAAATTATGCGTATAATCTTCTTGTATCTTTTTTAAATTTTTATTAAAAGGGGAATTAAGAATTTTTTCATTAATTTCACCTTTTAATGAACTTGAAGATAATCTATTTTCATTATTTTTTTCTTTTGTTATCATTTTTTATTACTATATTATAAATATTACAAAAATATAAACATTTGCTTCTATGAAATATTTTCAATATATTTTTTTTTCTCTTGGTTCACATATTTTAAATTTCTATATTTCATTTTTCCACAATAAAAACAGGAAAAGACAATTTTGTTAAACATCAAAAAAAAAAAAAAAAAGACATAAAGTTATTAAATAAAAATGATGTAATAAAAAAACATATTTATCTATAAAATTGCATTATGATTGAAATAAGATAACATTTTTTATAATCTGTTATATATATTTATAAGAACATAATAAATTTTTATGTTACAAAATATTATAACCTACAAATTGCATTTTATAGGGCATGTACATTATAATATTTTTTAAAACATGCTACTACATTATTTATATAACAAAAATAAAATTATAATTTTTTTTCAATACAATTAGCATATCTCTTTTTCATAATTATTGAAGTTTCATTTAATTATAGTAATTGCTTTGTTGTTTTAGTAAAAATATTAATGAAAATGTTCACCTTTTTTAAAAAAATGATGGAACTCTGTCTTACATAAGCAATAAAATTATTTGCATTATTTCATATTTAAAAAACGTAAATTAATTTTTAAACTTTTTTTTTTAAACCTAATAAATAATGATCTTTTATGACAAAAAAAAAAAAAAAAAAAAAAAAAATTAAATAGATATAATGTTAAAGCTGCCAAAGAACAAAAAAACAAAGAGTATGAATTATCAATCAAAAGTTATGTGTGTAAAAAATATTTGTTTTGATTTCTTATAAATAAAGAGTTAATTTTAATTAAGATATTTTTTAGTATATTAAAGTTTTTTAGTCATTTTTAAGAACATTTTAAATCATCAACATTGAAGTATAATTTTAAGATCTTAAACTTAAGGGAAATGCATATGTATATATAAATTATTTTTATTTAAAAAAAATTATTTAAAAAAAATAAATGTTGTCAACAATGAAAACATTTAAAACCTCATATTTTTTAGTATAAAATATTTAATTTTTTCATTAATTCGTTTGTTTACATATTAATATCAATCTAAATTTGAATACATTTTTTTCTTAATTCTTTATTATTTTTAATTATAAACTAAATGCAGTTAATAAAAAAATAGAACATTATTATTACTATTATTTTAAAAGTTAAAATTTTCTGTATAATAAGAAAATTTTAATTTATCGATTTGTTCATAATACATTTAAAATTTATTGTTGATCTTACATAAGTATTAATTTTATATTCTCATATTTATTAAAATGGAAAGGCTGGAAAATAAAATATCGGAAAACTATATGACAATTTTTACATTAAAAAATGTAGTCTTGTTATTTATTGGTATATTCCTTTTTATATTTATTTTTAAAAGTTTCAAAAATAAAAATAAAATTTATGAAGTTAAGCATAACAGTGAAATAGATAAAAAAATGAAAATAGCAAGAGAAAAAAAATTACAAGAGTTAGAAAAAGAAATGATAGCTAACAAAGAAAAAATGAAAGAAGAACAAATTAAAAAAAGAGAAGAAGAAAAAGAAGATAGAATGTTAAATTCCTCAAAACAAAAATTAGGTTCTAAAGATAATTCATCATTTAACCATTTTAAAGATTATTCAAGTTATTATAGGCCATCTATAAGAAATAGGTCATTCAATAATTTAAAAAAAAAAGTTTTCTTCGATTTCTCCTTTATTTAAACATTGTTATTATCTTTTTTTTAATAATTTTATTTTATTAAAGCAAAATTATGTACAATTTTGTTTAAATATGTATATGTATATTTTTTTTTTTTTTATAGATACAAAAAATCTTCCTGACAATAGCTTAGATGAATTAAGAGTACAAAAAAATAATATGGGGTATTTAATTTATAAATTATTAAGAAGAATAAAGAAAAAAAAATGAAGTATTATTTAAAAAATCATTTTTTTTGTATTTATTATTGCTGATCGTCTTTTATTTCTCCCCTAATTATATTTGTGCTTTTTAATTCATCTTGAATAATTTACCTCTGAAGTTATTTAAAAAAAAACGCATACCTTTTTAGTAGATCAATTAAAACTAATGATTTGTTCATTGGTAAAATTCATAAATGAATTCATGAACGATGAAATGTTTTTATTTATCTACTTAGCTGTTATATTAATTTTTTTTTTTAAAATAATTCTATTTTCATAAATTTTTAAGAAATCAAATAAAAAAAAAAAAAAAAGTAATTTTTTAACATATTTATATTTAACTTTGTCTTTCAAAATGTTTTATAAAATTTTTACGCAACAAGGATAAATAAAAATGTAAAGTATTAAAAAGAATACATTTTATTTATTTCTATTTATATTATTTTATTTTTTTATTTTATATTTTTTCTAACTACATGTGATATGAAAAACTATTAAATAATATAAAAATTCCAGCAATATGATAAATAATACTTTTATTTTTCCTCATGAGAAATACTTTTTTATTAATGTATATTTATTTATCTAATTTTACATGGATATTCAAATATAAATGAAAATCATAAAATTAAAGTTAACATTTAAAGAAATAAACAAATGCATTAAAAATTCTTTTGAGTTTTTAAGAGATTGTAAAAACAAAAAATATAAATTTAACATTTCTTTAAAGAATACATTACATAATACGCACACATTTTAATAATAAAAAAATACAAAACCAAAACTTAAAAAAAAAAAAAAAAAAAAAAAAAATTCAAATTATTTTTTTTTATTTTTAAATACAAATACTTATTGATTTTTTAAACTATTAGTTTACATCTATAAAATTTTCAGTAAATTCTTTAAACTTATAATTTTTTTTTTTTATCCTTTTGTCAAATTTCTTTTTAATATTACATATTTAACTTTTATATTAAATATATAAGAAAAAATTATTTTTCTTGACATTGTAAATTTTTCTTTTTGTGTTTTATATATTGAATTTTTTTATTTTCATTTTTTTTTCTTTGATTATTTTTTAAATAAATTGATATAAAATTATTTATTTAATATTTTCAATTTATTTAAAAAGAAAAAAAAAAATGTTTTAAACTTTTTATTTAATTCTTAGACAAATTGTAAAGGAATTTATATTTTGTTAGATGTAAATAAATCTTGTTATTTAATTTTAATATATTAAATGTTTTTTATTTAAAGAATAAAATCATAAATCTCCAAAAAATTATATGGGCATATATATATTTAAAGCAATATATACACTTATAAAATAATATATGTATATTTATATATATATATAAATGTATTATTAAGTTAAAGATGCTTAAAAGAGATAGCTTATCAAATCCTCATAGTAAAGAAACAAGAAGATTTTCTCACAAGGAAAATTTTAGCTATGATTATTCAGAATACATAAATATATGCTTAGAAGAATACAGAAACAATATATATGATTTAGATTTAATAAATGACAATGAAGAATGTATGCGTGAATTAGTAAATTATTATAATTATATATATAGAGATTATTATGAAAATATCGTAAATGCTTTTGAAAATAGCAATAATGAAAAGCCATATACAAGTGAAAGTTATTTTTTGAAACTTGATCTTTTAAATAAACAGCACATAGAAGCTTTATATAATATTAGCATTTTAAGTATTTCGGATAAGCTAAAGTATTATATGTTAAGAGGTGAAACAAAAAAAAATAAAGATGTTATTGAGGAGGATAAAATAGATCATGATAAAAATAATGAAAATAGAGCACTTAAAAAAAATATGTTTTCTAACGATGCTGTTAAACAAAATACGAATTTGACTGATTTTGCAAATAAAACCAAATATTTAGATAAAAACTCAAGAATATATATGAATGATGAATTGTCATTAAATGAAATGAAAAGAGAAGATGAATTTGATATAATAAAATATTTATTTTACCTTATAAGATCAGTTGAGTACTACGTAAGTTCAGAAAATGGAAATATGTCATCATTTTATAATAACTTAAAAATTTATTTCTTTCGAGATAATGTTAATGAAAATTATTATAATTATATTTACTTACTAATTTTATGTTTACACTGTTTAGAAAATATTACTAGCAATATTGTTACATTTGATATAAAAGAATCTGAAAATGAAGAGTTAAAACTAACAAATGAAAAAAATAGTTCTATTTATAATAATATTGCGAAAATGAATAATTCGCAAAATTATATAAAAAGAAAATATATTACTTCAAATTTTAGAAATCATCCTTCATCAAATGAAAACAACACTAATTCTCATCACAACAATACAATTAATAATAATACAAATTATTTGAGAATAACATCAAAAGAATGTAATTCATTTAAAATACATAATAATCATGTTTATTTCTATAAAATTTTCTTTTATCTCTTAAATTTTTTAAATTTTTACTTGGAAGACATGATAAAAGATAGCTCTTTGCTATATTCAGATATGATGAAAATGCACGCAGAAAATAATGTACGTAGAAGTAGAAAGGAACAAATGTTAACATCTTCTAATTTATTAAATGGAAGTACAAATACTAATTTATCTTTTATAGATGGAAAAGATGAATTGCTGTTTTTGGGTAAAAATAGAGTGACATATTGTAATATTTTATTGAAAAGTTTAAACATAATTAATAATTTAATGAATTTGGATGCTGTTAGAGAAAAAATTATGAATTCAAGTGATGATCTTAATGAATTAAAAATATTTTTGTCGAAATATTATAAATATTTAAATGAGTATGACGACATTGAAGTATATAAAAATTTTTATATTAGTTTATACAAGACGTATATATTCATTTTTCCTGAAGAATTAGAAAAAGAAAATTACTTTTCTCCTATGCTACTTTTTGAAAATATTGTAAATAATGGTAATTTAATTAGAATGAGAACTATTGTAGACACACTTATATTTTGTTTTAATGACAAAAAATTTGTTTATTTTTTTGAAGAAAACATAAATATAACAAAAGTGCTTTTTATTTTTGTTACATATTCTTCCAGATTATTATCCAATAAACAGTATGAACTTATAACAAATATATCATTTCTTTTTTACATAATTTTAATTAAATTTCCAAATGTTTCCATAACAATATTTCATATTTTAAATGAAAACAATGATTATATTATGAAATATAATGAAGATAAAAAATTTAATTCAATTTTCAATAATATAAATGAACATATAAATATGTTGTTTTTATCAACTATCCACAAAAATAAAAGTTTGGCGACAGTAATTTCACTCATTTTCTCCAAGCTGATACATTTATATTGCCAATTTTGTGCTAAAAAAAATAATTTAGAAAATGTTCAAAATAATTTAAACAATAACTTTGCCTATGGAACTCACCTAAATACAAATAATTATAATTTAAGAAATTTAAATAGTTCATATATTAATGCAAATGGAAAAAACATAAGTGCATCTGCATATGGTTTATCAAAAAATGTAAATGCAAATAATTTGAATTATTCTTATGCATCGAATAATGAGAATGAAGGAAATAAATTTTATAAGGAAATATTTTGTAAAATATTTGATAACATAAAAATGAATGAAAGAAATGCTGTAATAAAAGCTATACTAATTAATTTACATATAATTCCAGATGTTTATTCATCAAATACTATATTTCATATAGAAGAAAATATTGAAAAAACGAGATATATAATTGTCATTATTAATTTTTTATTTACTTTAATGAAAACAAAATTTTATGAGACAATACATGAAAATACTTTTGAATACATAGATTATTTTATTGAAGAATTAAAAAAAAGTGTTAACATGAAAAATATTAAATTGGTTTGCGGATATATATCTCTACTACTAAATTATTCATTAAATAAAAAAACTAATAACTTAAATGAAACTGCAGATTTAAAATCTAGTATATTTATAAAAAATATTCACTATAATAATCAACCTAATATTATTAAAATACATAAAGCTTTGTACGAATCGGGAGCATTAACATTTTTAATATCGTCTTTATATGAGTCAAAAGACTCTCTAATAATTTATAACTGTGTTTACTCAATATCATTTCTCTTGTATAAAAAATCTATTTTAGATTATGATAAAAACATTGAGCTTTCAAATATGAAAATAGCAATTTTAAATATAGTAAGACACTATTATAATTTAGACAATTATTTGGAAAAATATACGGAAAATTTTATTGATTATAAAGGTTTTTTAAAGGGAAATGCAAAAAAAAAATTATCGTTACATGAAGATGATAATTATAATACACTATTGAATAAATTAAATAAGCGAAGTTCTCATGAATTTGATGAAATAAATAGAAAATATTTATATGAAGAAGAAAATAGGTATATATTAAATGAAAAAAATGATAACTTTTTACCAAATCATATGAACACTAATTATTCCCAAAACCTGAATAAAAATATTATTAGTAGTGAAAATGTTGTAAACAAAAATATTTTTCCTTCTTTAAAATACCAATACGCAAGTGCAAATTACGAAAATTCCTTTTTCCTTAATTTTGATAAAATTTTTTTTGAAACAATAAAAAATAGAAAGAGTTCTTTTAATTTTTATTTTGATACTATATACAATACTCAGTATTTATTTAATTTTTTATTACATAATTTTTTGTTTTATTCAAAAGATGCAGATGAATACTCAAAAAAATATTTATTAAACATTTTGTTGCACAATAATATAACGAGATCATCTGATATTAGCTTTTACTCGAATAAAATAAAAAATTTGAATTCTCAATTTAATGAATCTCAATCAAGACTAGAAATTTACAAACAAGATCTTGAGAGATATAAAGATGTTATAAATGTGTTAAATAA